AGCTTGATAGTAATGCGAGGGCTCAAAAGTGGTGGAAATCGAGAGACAAAAGCTTGTAAAAGAGGGTGATAATTTGTTATACTGTAAGGATAAAATTAAACCATGATGAGTACTAACCTTATTCGATCTCCCTGAACACATGGAGCGAGATTGATCTGATGAAGAAGTAAGGAGGTTGCAATGATACTGTTCAAGGTAGCTAGGAATGTTCCTAATTCTGGAAGATCTGCGAGGCATATTGGTATAAGACTGTACACTTGGATTGTAAGTATCTAATTCTTGAGAAGGAAGAGATTTGGGAAAGACAAAGGAATTTTCATAGGAAGTTGAGGTTAAATTTTTGTAAGGAAAGATGTGTTTGTGAAAAACTACATCTCAAGATATGAAGGAAGTGTGGAGATCAAGATCATAGAGTTCATATCCCCTGACACCGTAAGGATATCCAAGAAATAAGCACCTACGAGCTCGGAAAGCAAATTTAGAACGATTGTGGGATAAGGTAGTGGCAAAACATAGGCTTCCAAACACTTTGAGGTGAGCATAGGCAGGAGGTTTATTGTACATGATCTCAAATGGAGACTTGTTTTGCAGTAGAGGGGTTGGTGTACGGTTAATGAGGTATGCTGCAGTTAGGACAGCTTCTCCCCAGAATTTGAGAGGTAAATTAGCTTGAAAAATGAATGCTCGTGAGACATTTAGTATGTGCTGTGTTTACGCTCAACCACACTATTTTGTTGTGGTGTAGCAACATAAATTTTTTGTTGAATAATTCCTTTATCAGCACAAAAGATTCTCATATCAAGGTCAGGGGCATATTAGTGCGAAGCTATTTAATTTTGACCTGGAACTGTGTTTCAACTAAATACTCATATCAAGGTCAGGGGCATTATAGTGCGAAGCTATTTTATTTTGACCTGGAACTGTGTTTCAACTAAATTATAGAAGCACTGGATATATGATCTTGCTTTAGATTTATGCTGTAAGAGATATATCCATGTTGATATGGAGAAATCATCTACTATAGTGTGGAAATACTTTGCACTATTTAAAAAGGAATGAGCAAAAGGCCCCCATACATCACAATGTATAAGCTGAAATAAATGTGTAGAAATTGTATTGCTAACAGGAAAATGGTGTCTCTTTTGTTTTGCCATTGGACAAATGTTACAAAGAAATTCTTTTCGACTTGATATTACATCGTAATTGCTACTAGCAAGATGTTTTAGGCAATTAGAAGACAGATGTCCTAAACGAAAATGCCAAAGGTCAAAAGAACTTGAATTTGAATAGGAAGTAGCACATATAGGAGGTTTTTGCGGGAAATCTTGACAGATGATACAGTCCTCATTTTTCTTCACCCACACCAATCGTCATCCATGAGATAGGGTCCTGAATAAAGCATTGACGAGATAGAAAAATTAAGCAACAATTAGATTTGCGAGTTAGTTGACTGGCAGATAGCAAATTAAAAGAAAAAGATGGGACACATAGGACATTTGTTAAGCAAAGTTCGTCTGAAATGAATACATTGCCTATGTGAGTAACTTGTGTAAAAGTACCAGTAGGTAATTGCACAAAAGAGTTCACTTTGGCTGTTATAGTGTTTAGGAAAGAGGCTGAACATACCATATGGTCAATTGCTCATGTATCAATGATCCAAGGAGTATTTGAAATGGAAGTGTAATTAGAAGAGAAAGATAGGCAATGGTGTTTACCTGTCATGTTGCATTGAGGCTGAAATGTCGAGGTGAGTTTATTTGACTTATTGACCAGAGGAGTGTCAATAGGTGGAGCATTGACAGGTTTAATTAAGCTGAGTAGTTGGTTATATTGTTCTGGAGTAAATGGCCTTGAAGAAAAACTTTGCTCACCAGAAGATGCTACTGAATGAACTTGGCTTGAAGAATTAAGTCCCTTATTTTTGCCAGACTTAAAACCAGGAGGAAAACCAATAATTCTGAAGCACTTGTCAGTTGTGTGAGAAGTATATCCACATTCAGTACAATACAACTTTCCCTTTCTGGGACCAGACACCTGCTTGAATGAACCAGGTGCTATCTTACTAACCATAGCAGCAGGAGAATAATGACTAACACTTTTCAGAGTTTCCTCTTGCAAAATTAAAGAGAAAACTTTGTTAATAGAGGGCAAGGGATCAGATAGTATTTGACCTCTTATTGTAGCAAAGTTCTCGCTTAGTCCCATAAGAAAGTGTAAAACATAATCTTGATGACGATAGTCCAGTAGAGTCTTAACACTGGGACTAGAATCATTAGGAAGTGGGCGATAATTGAAATATTCGTCCCACAAGGTCTTGAATTTGGTGAAATAATTAGATACTGATGATGAACTTTGATTAAGAGCACATATTGCCTTCTTCAATTGAAAAATGCGTGGAGCATTTCCCTGACTGAACCTCTCTTCTAGCTCTTTCCATAAATCAGACGCATTGGCAATATAAAGGATGCTTGCAGCGATCTCTTTGTTCAAGGAATTTAAGATCTAGGAACAAACCATATCATTACAACGAATCCATGCTTCATAAGAAGGATCAGTCATAGGTGGCTTTGGGAGATTACCATTGATAAAACCAAGCTTGATCTTGGCTGAAATGGCCATCGACATTGATCTGTTCCAAGGAAAATAATTGGATCCATCGAGCACCTTAGAAACCCAGACAGTGCCAGGACTATCATTATTTGCCAAGAACAAAGGATTAGAGGAATCATCTGTAGCCATGATTAACACTGAAACTTTAATTTATAACACAGCGGAAGATACTAGATTTAATTCTCTGATACCATATCAAAAGAAAGAATGAAGAGGGAAAAAACAGAGAGAATTGGACTATCTTTTTCTTTGATTGAAGTTTTAATCAACTCAATTAATTCGTTAGTACATAGACTCTTATTTATAGGCATTAGTTTGCCATCTGCAATGTTAACTAACTAACTGAAAAGCTAACTGTTCAACTAACTCTTTCAACTACTTTTTCCAGCTCAACATCTCTAATTGATTTTAACTACCAGCCATTTCAGCTTCGGTTCCAGCTCCAGCTTCGGCTGATTGTTGAGCTGTAACAAATTCATCTAGCTCGTTTGATCTGTCAAAAGTTAAAAAAAATTCAAAGATTGTACGTAAAAATGACTGCATTAACACATCCATTAATGGTCAGTGCTGGACGGAGGAGGTTGACGGAAGTATGGAAATTATTATTGTTGGTGCCGGAGTTGCTAGTGCCGCTCTGGCTTACACACTCGAAAAGGTAACAATTGTGATACTTTTTGTACTTTTTAGCCCATATTGCAGGTTCTAGTTGTGCTACGATATTTTCTTAGACCTATACGTGACCTAAATTACACATCTACCCTTTGCAAGTATCTTGAATCCTTCTATACCATTAGGAAGGTGAGTTGTAGATTGAACCTCAAAACGATTAGTTTTGAATTTCAACAACTTGAGAAATCAAACGTTCTTTTGTAGCTTGTGCCGTCTACTATAAATAATAGATAACATTACAATACAAAACTAAATAAATAAATCTTTTTTCTTCATTAAGTTCAATATACCTTACCAAATAAATTATTAGCATTTTTAAATTGATAATATCCACGTCCATTTTGTTTTCTTAGTTTAATTTTTTTCTAGTGACTAAAATGTAGTAGTACAAAGTCTTTTGCATTTCCTATTCATTTATTATTAGATAATGGAAATCCAACATGCACAACATTAATGGCCACAAACGGTGGCTTAATTGCTATTTAATAGAAACAATAAAACTAACGGTGAAAAAAGATTTTCCGTTAAAACAACCAATTCCGTTATATTTTCCGTTAAAACAAAAAATTCCGTTTCATAGGCACTTTTTATATATAGAAAATAATACTTATATTCTTAACTTTTTTCTTCATAACATTCTTGTTTTTAAAATTTCAAAAACTTGTCCTTAATCATAGTTTTCGTTAAAAAATATTGTTAATGTGCTTTAAAATGAGGTCAAATATTTAATCACCTTTTTGTAGTATTATTCCTTTTGCTTAGTCAAAAATATAATGGGTAAATGAATTTTTCTTTAAGATATCTTCAAGAAAATTTTGGAGAGAAACCATAATTAGGAACAATTTATGTTAATTTGTAAATAAGAATGCGATAAAAAGTAGTTTGATACATAAATGTGATAATGTGTAAATATTATAAACCTTTCATACAATTAAAATGTAATTTATTTACTAAAAATAATAGTGTGAATATATTTAGCCATAGAAAATTTGCAATGGAGATTGCAAATCATTCAATATAGTGTAAATAGATCCAAAGCTTTGAATCATAACATATGCTTCGCAATCTTTTAAAAATGTGCAGTAGAAGAACAACTGAACGATTTTTGCTCAAGAATTCGTTAATTGACCAAAATTCAAGCATTTGACCAATTTTAAAAAGAAAAAAAATTATCTTTTTTCATTTTTGATTAATTAAAACAAGAGATTTGCATCGACAGTTCCAATCCTATCAAAAATGTGCAACATGATCTTAAACCTTTAATAAATGTGCGCTGAAAGGATCTTCAACGATTTCCAACGAAAAGTCTGTCAGTTGACTAAAATTATTCATGTTCACCAATCCAATCCACCCCAAGCTCTAACCCCCAAGATAGAATAAATTACATTTCTTATGATAAATTTGTCAAGTTCAGGCAAACATGCTCTTAAAAGTGATGGTAGTTGATGTCATATCCTGGACATATTGGCTTAGCCACAGAAAATGGCAACATGGGTCATGAGAATGTAGAAACAATATTTTCCTCTCGAACAACTAATGGCCAAGTTTCTTCGACTTTGGCACAATGTCCTGTCCCTCTACAACTGTTTACAACATCAATATTCTTTCTAGCGTTTACAAAGGCAACATCAAAATTCTTTCTAACAGAACTCTAGCGTAATTTGCATTTACATCAATATTTTGTCAATACCATACATACAATAGACATCAACGAACCAATATCATGAATCTTCAATGTGATGATCAGTCTCGTCAAAGATTTCCTCCTGCGAGAGGCAATGATGAGTATAAGATATATAGCATTCTTGAAGTGGAAGAATCTAAGGTGAAAGGATTAAAATAAACAAAGCCAGCCCTAGATAGATGGTACATAATCAAGACGTTATTAAGTGCTTGTTTGTTAGTGCTTTTAATTATAAGTTATAGATCCTATGAAATATTTGGATAATAAGTGGGTAATATAAAAAGTAGGTTTGACCGGCTTGAATTGTAATTTAAGCTTTGACAAACATGCTCTAAGATATGTATTAAGAGAGATTAACTTCACCTGTAGAAGCTCTTCTATGACATCTTCCATGGTTATTATTCCAACTGCTTCTTCTTCATGGAGAGTTGGTAGAGGATTTTCATCTATTTGTAGGATATCTGCATACATGTTTTTCGTCCACTTTTTGCTCCTAGGTGTACCTTTGAAGGAATCATTTCCATTATTTGGAAAACTCTTCCATTTCTTCAGTGGTCTTTTGGTCTTTACACTCTTCTCCTTGGGTTTTTCGCCATCAATGTCTACTCTCACATCCTTGACCGTATCTACAAATACATGCCCATAAAGGAAATTGTAGGCAACACAACGCATCTGATACCATAAAGCTATCAGTTAGCTAAAAAAACTTACTGTCTACAGGATCTGTGCTAGCTGGCTGTTGTGTGGCCTTGTTGCAGTGCCTAACAACAACAGCCATGTGGCTGTGACCCTTCTGGAATTCATTCAAGATGTCATATAATGGCATAGTTTCCGGAACCCTAAGATGTCAATCATATAAAAACAAGTTAAAAAGCAATATTGAGAGTATCCTATCTAGGAACACATGAATCATTATAAGGCTGTTGATAAACAGCCTGAGGCCCACCAGTTTCTTCTACTAAAAAGTACCACACAGAAAATGAAGCCAAATACCAAATCAAACCAATACAGTTATTTAGAATAAATACATGGACACATTCTGCCCATGTGTGCATGCAGATAGACAAATAACTAGAAAATTAATTCCTTTATCAGTTTTAGGTCTCAGAATCTGAGGAACAAGTGCCAAATTGAGGTACATGTAGAAATGCCTAAATGATCTGAAAATTGTAACACGTGAGAGTAGTGTGATGACTCCAAAGGTAAAGCAAGATAAAATTTTACATATCATTTTCACTACTTCAAGCATCTAAAGAACAACTTCGGAATTAGACATCAATGTTCGTATCATTTTCACCACTTCAAGCAACTAAAGATCAACTTCGGTATTAGACATCAATGTTCTATATAACCACGATACCTTGGAATTCTACGGATTGTAACACTCTTCACAGGGACTTCATCTTCTGGATGGATCGTTAACAAGTTCTTAGCCTACAAGGGAATAAATACATTAAGAAAACTACATTATATTAATAAAAAATGTCTACATCAACATGTTGATCGGAATTTATGGTGATAACAGAATACATAAAAGGGAAAAACTCAATGTTTGTGGATGGCTCTACATCCCCAGCTATGGTAGGATCAGACCAAGTAAAACCACATCAAATATATCTGAAAGCACCATCTTAAAGCCTTAATTTTCAAAAAGTTGTACAATTCCCAACTTATTGCAGTAATATAGCTATCAGAAAGTTTGTTGGATCTAAAATCACTGCAAATCTCTTTCAGATGGTTTTTTCCACAGTACACTACAGGCCAAACTACAGCTAACTAAAGCAGGCAAGTGGATACAAAAAAAAAGAGAGAATTTTGATTCCAGCACAAAAATGGAACCTAATATCAGCAGTCATTTAGAGAAGTTGCTGGACACAAGGGATCGTTAATGAACTAGAATGCACCCATCCACAAATAACTAATCACTCATCGAAACTGCCCATAAATGAAATGAAGTACCAGAATAAGTCCAATAATGTTTGTAGGTTGCTCGTAGTAGACTGGCACTCTGCTATGTCCTTTCTCCAAAATTAGATTCATCAAGAACCTATACCACACCAAATCAAAATATATCAAGAATAGAAATTTGAGTTCTAACTGCTTGCATTTTAAGGCTAGCCAAATTATGATGTACCTGTCAAGCTTTGCATTTATATCAATTGCGAAAGTTTCGGATATTGGAGTCATGGCATCGCTAGCTGTTTTCTCAGAGAGTTCAAGTGCCCCTGCAATAATTGTTGTCTCATCATGTGTCAGTTCTCCACCTTTACCTGCCTGATTAAAAGAAGTAAAGAAAGTAGAGAATCAGCAAAGTAAAGGTAAGAACCCAAGATAAAAAGTTTCGATCGTAATGATGCACAACAACATTTGAAGGAAGTAGTACAGTGTAAAATCAATGTGTCAATTCACCACAATGTAAGGAACAAAAGAGACCCTTTGAAAAACTATAAAAGTCAAATTCTGCATCTCCTTCATACCTCGTTGCCATGCAAATTAACTAGGGTTTTCAACTCAGCACGACGAAACAGAGCTCTATGCCCATCACCAAGCAGCAAGTCTAATAACTGCATACAACAGAAATAGCAGCAAAGTCGATAACTTGCAAATATTCACCCAGGAATATTCCAAACTATTGAACCATGAAACACTCTTCTTAAAATAGAAGTGTACCTTGCTTATTGGATATGCAACTGGAAAACAAATCCAGACTAGTATGCGAACCATGGGGGCCACAGTAGCACCAATAGCAAGTCCATATCTAGAGCAAACAGACTGCGGTATGATCTGAAAATGCATTCATAGCAATAACTTCATGTAAACTAGTTCTTTAATTTCATGTAGCAGCCGATAATGTTAAAACATTTCAGAAGATCAGAATGGTCAAGTCAAAACACATGGCCTCTTTCACTTAAAACATCAAGCTTTTCCAGGTTGGTGGATCCTGCTATGTTGATATATTGCTATTAAATACCATACGAAAATATCGGGGGGGGGGGGGGGGGGGGGGGGGGGGGGGGGGGGGGGGGGGGGGGGGGGGGGGGGGGGGGGGGGGGGGGGGGGGGGGGGGGGGGGGGGGGGGGGGG